GAGGAAGGAAACATTAAATTAGAGCCAAAATTGTTCTCTGGTCCTGAAGTCTCTAAATATCTAATGAATGTGTAAAGCATAGATAAAAACATAAAATAAAATTGATTTACAAAGACAGATGCTGCCTATTCAGGAGAAGAAAATGTCCTCCATACATTATTGATTCCAATACGGGAAAGAATAATGCATGGGTTATCCTACTTGGCTTGATTCCCTCTGTTCTCTTCTTATAACAACATAATTTTGTTGTGCGGGTCAAAACACAGAATGGAAATAAAGTCATATTTTCATGTCTGTGAGCTCTGTATATGTGAATTCAAACAGTCACAAATTGAAAATCTTCAGAAAAAAAGATTATCTCTGTAATGAAAATATACAGACTTTTCTTGTTAGTACTCCCTTAACAATACAGTATAACAACTATTTAAATAGCATTTTTTGAGATAGGGTCTTTATATGTAGTTTGGGCTGAACTTGAACTCACTATGTAGCCCCAGTTGACCTCTTGAAGTGATTCTCTTGTCTCAGTCTATCCAGCGCTGAGATTAAACGTAAACGCCACTATACCAAGTTTACATAGCATTTAGATTACATCAGGCAACACAAGTAATCTAGAGATGGCTTAAAGCTTCCAGGAGGCTGTGCCTATGTTATGTGCAAATAGTATACCATTGTATATAAGAGACTTGAACATCACCAGATTTTGACATCTGCAGGGGGTCCTGGAACCATTTCCTCTGGACATCAAGGAATGGACACACTATTTTCTTATCATCAATTTACAAAGAATAAAAGATCCTTTTTGATCCAGTTGGATAATTTTAAAAGCTTAATATTCCTGACTATTGCTTCTATGTTATACTATAAATGTCCTTTAGAAAAGATTAGAGCCATGAGGGGTAATGCATACCTATAATCTCAGCACTTAGCACAGTGAGGTAAGAGGATCACTGAGAATTCTACATAGTGAGTTTCAGGCCAACCTGAACTACATAGTAAGACCCTATCTCAAAAAATAAGTTTAGAAAAAAGATAAGGAATTACCATTCTGGTTTACAAATGGGAAAAATGAAGCAGGAGCATCAACATCTCTTATGCAATGGAAACTGCCCAAGCCTCCTCACATGTAAAATCATATTTCACTACTCACTGCACACAGCCTAGGAAGAAACACACAGAGCAGCTCTTCCCTGGACCTACGTTAACCTGAACAACATCTGAGGAAAATGCTCAAAGGCACATAGTTCTCTAAAATGGGTGTCTTCCTAGAGGCAGCAAATATCACATAGGTGGTTTTGTTCTCAGAAGCAAAACCAATTTCGTGCATTCATATTCATTTTTCTTCCTCAGATAGCAGAGGTGTTCCTCAAAATCATATAATCCAAGGGCTGCAGTCCAAAGAATGAAGTATACAGAGATCATACAGATGATAATGAGCCACGGTATTGTATGGAGGAGGCAGCAGAATGGCTTACACTGAACACACCCAAGTGCAAGTGGGAAGAGTTGAAACCTAAAGTAAATGAGGAAGCAGCACACTGTGACCTGAAGAGAAAGCCCATTAGGGTCAGATCTACATTTTAAAGTCTACACCCTGCCCAAGGATTATGCTTCAGGTTCATTTTCTATCAAACAGGATGAATCATAATCGCATCACTGGTCTGTCATAAAGATCAAATAAGATGGACTATACAATGACACTTAGCACAGTACTAACACGTGGGAGACAGAAAACATCAACTAGCTCCTTTTTCCCTCCACCTGTGTGTTTCTGAAAGGTTTTCTTTTTCAATTTCACTGACTTAAACAGGAATTCTTATAGCAGTGTAAAAAATCAGTTTCTACACATTATGTAGTCATTTGCACATATGTATCTGTTGCTGCACCATAATTTGCAAAGAAAAAAGAAGTAGCAATTTAAGGAGAAAAGTACCAGTTCACTTGCATTGCGTTCTAAAGGCTTCAGCTTTATGGTCTACAGAGACTATTTGCTCTAGGGATGCAGATTTTGAAATAAAGGAAAATTTCTCTTGGGAAAAAAATAACTCCTAAAAAAGCCAACAAAGGAAAGATAATGAGGGGAAGCCTTGGGGGATATATAAGAGTTTACTTTACTTAATAAAGTAAAAGTCAAGCAAAATGAATAATCTTCCTCCAGAAATGGTTATTTAAAGGCTTTCTGTAAAGGGCTCTGGTTCCTAAAAAGACAGGAGTCACTGCACATGCCCACCCACTCTTCATTTATTTTTAAACCCTAGCTTATATGTTCCTTAGCAACAAGAGGAACAGATGAGACCCCCTACACACACACACACACACACACACACACACAGACGCACCCTTTCTCCCAAAGCCCTCTTCTTCTTCCCCATCAAATTTCATTCTGTAAATATCCAGGTACTTCCAAAGATACTTTTTAACTACCTGCAAATCTCCATTTCCCACCTCAGATGATCTCTCTTACTCTAGCCATGCACTTCTGTGTAGACCATTCCACCTACATATAGGTCTTCCTGATTCACTGCCATAAATTCCCAACAGCCTCTGTCCTCAGATGCCCCAGAAACAAAAGTGGTGTGGTCCCCACTAAGGAACCAAACCCAAATCCAGCCCAAACTCCTCTTTTCTTAAGTTCTGCTCTCAGTCCCAGCATCACTGTCAAGTCCGGCTGCATCCATCAGACTCTACAACAAACAGCTACCAGCGCAGGTAGGTAGGCAATTCACCACAGCTCCAAAAAATACAGATAAATACAAAGATGAAATCCCACAAGCTACCGGGACAAACATGTGCCAGGCAAGATCTCCCACCTCTTCATTATCTTTGGAATTACCTGGCTGTTTATCTGGAAAAGGGTTTATGAGCTCAAAGATCAATTGATTAGCCTTTAAGGAAAACCAGGGCAATAATCCTCAGGCATTAGTGCATTTAAGCATCACCTGAGGAGCCTGATAAAAACTCCCATGCACTGAGAGTTTGATGCCTGAAGGCTGAGGTAACAAGCATCTTAACTACCACCTGAAAGGATGCAGATGCAGATGTTTTACTGAATCAAGGACTGTGAGAATTTACATAGAAGGAAATGATGTCCAAAAGCAGAATTACCCCTACGCATTTTAAAACGGATGCCGTATTACTTATTATTCTTCTCTAGAAAAACACTTCTGGTAGCCCTGTCTAGGTATTTACATACTCACAAGAGCCTATGAAAGCAGACAATACAGAAAGCGACAACCCCACACAGTACAAATTTCCAGGAGAGAGGCTCTGAGAATGACCCTGCCAAGGGGCAAACTGCGATGATTTCCTTTGCAAACTCTGACTTTGCATCCCTACCCCATGACGAGGCTGATGGAAACCAATGACACAGGAGAACTCTCAGCTCAGAAGCTGGGATTCCAGACCCACAATGTATTTTATTTCACATCATCACCCCACACGTCCCTAGGACAAAGCTCTTCAATTAGGTTGAATGTAATCCTGTCCTCCTCAGGGCCAGCACATCACACCTAGGAAGCAGAACTGCCTGTGTCCTAACATATTCCCCTGGAGATGCCTGCTCTCCACCACCTGCCTATTTTTAGGAACATAAAATATAAAAAGAAAGATCCATTTGGATACCATCTACATGAGTAACTAAGAGAACAACTCAGGTAGGAAATTCTCTCCTCGCATAGCAAAACGCTCACAGAGAATGCAGGAAGCAACACCTCGCTGGCAAGACCGTTTAGAAATAGTCAGAAGCCAACACTTAGATGAAGAGCTCATGGTCTGGCTCATGCCAGGGCCTCCAGTCCAGGCAATGCCTATGGGGATCCCAATGATTCACACACCTGCCCCCACAAATACAGCACACCCTCACAAGCCCACATGCTTCTGTCATCTGCCTTTGCTTACATAACAGCACATGGTGTGACAGGCATAATACTTTAGACGGTTTTCTTTAAAGGACTGCTAACTCAGAAGAAGAAGGTTGCAAGAATGCTTTCACTGATCCCCCTTTCAAGCAACACTCCAGACCCTAGAGAGTGAAAATCTTTGTAAACTTACATTTGCCTATCACCTGGAATATTAAAATCAACACCCAGGAAGGATATTTGATGTTTTTCTTTTTGCCTGAGGATGGGGATAGGACATGGAGAATGTACTGAATTCTCAGGATTTCTCATGTTTAGACCTGACTGGATTCGGGGTTATCTTTTACCTAATTTGGTAGCCATTTACCTCACACTGCCCTTGTCTCACAAATATATGTATCCTCAGATGCAAGTAACGGTGCTTTCTCACCCTCACCCTGGCTCACCACATCATCTGGGGAGAGCAGGAGAGAGACAGCGTGCAGGGAAAGCACGTGTGCGTAACCTGCACACCTACACAAGGCCATGTCCAACTTCCTTAATGGGTGATTTCCACACATATCCAGCCTCACAGAGATTTCTCTCCAGGGAAGGCTGTACTTTCTTGACTTTCAGAGTGATCCCAGGTACTAAGTCAGTGCCAAAGGTTCATCCATTGAAATGTGAAAGGTGGGGGGGTGTAGCTAAAATGACCCTGTTTTAGGGGTAACTTTGACGACTTTTCTCAAGAAAACTAGACATTTTTAGATCTGCTTTCCTTACTGTAGACACACGCATTTTTTTTTCCTCACTCAGGGATCCAAGTTCCTGTCGTGTTACAAATCCATCCATTCTTAGGTATTAAGGGCTAATCCAGGCGCACTCAGCTCCCCTCCAGCCCAGAAGGATGAGATGAAATCAGGCAGAATAACACAGGAGGAAGGAGAGAGAGGGAAACAGAAACAGCCAGACAGAAAGACGTGAGCGAGAAGGGAGGGGGAGATAGAAGAGAAACGAGAAGGGAGTGAGACAGAGTGACAGACAGACAGCGAGAAGCTGACTAGGAGGTGTACAACTCCGAGCAAGCAGAACAAGCAGCCTTTGGAGGACAGCGGGTGCCCGCCCCAGGTGGCACCTGTCTCCGCACCTGGCTTCCACGCCTACCTGTAAGAGACCTGCTTCCGGAAAGTTAAGTTCCTCAGCTTCTCCTCCAGCGCCTCGTCCTTGTCCCTCAGGCCGGCGGCCCCGGGCTCCTCCAGGGCGGCCGACCCCGCCACTGCCCCTGCGCCCCGCGGGTCCGCGCCGCCCTCGGCGCCCAGGCAACAGCTCCCGGCGCCACCCGCTGCCCCCTGGTCCTCCCCCGCCGCCGCGGAGTTGGGGTTCATGGCGAGCGAGAGCAGGCGGCCGCGCGGGGAGCCGGGGCGAGGCGCGGGCGGCAGGGGAGCGCCGCGAGGTCCGCGCGCGACGGGTAGGGCGGCAAATGGCAGCGCCTTCCCGCAGCATCCATCCGCGGCCGCACCGCGCCAGGGCATTGTGGGAAACTCCGAGCCCCGCGCCCGGGCCGGCCAATCACAGCCCTCCTGCCTCCGCTCGCTCCGCCCGCCCGTCCCGCCCGCGGCACCCAGTCCCGCCCCGGCCTCTCCCCGAGCTTAGAGCTACCAGGGGCTGAGGCGAGCTCTGTAAGAAGGTGGCGGCGCCGGACTGAGCGCGCCGAGCCTCGAGAACGCAGGAGCGCGGCCCCGGTGTCTGCGCCCGCGCGGCCTTCAGCCCCTTCCCACCCTCTGCCCGAGGCAGTGTTGCCTCCCTCGCTGGATTCAGCGTGCAGGGCTGGGACCAGGCAGACACCTCAGACGTGGGGAACCTTTAGGGGTGGTACCAGAGCGCGGTCGGGGGCAAGCTTGGAGGGAATTAGTTTGCAAAATGAACCAAGGGGAGAGGGACCCAAGTGCACGCGTCTGCTGCTTCTCTGCAGAAGAGTGGGGCTGCTTTCTCTCTGAATGCCCCTTGCCCGCAGCCTTCCAAATGCGTAGCCTATGCTCGCTAAACTGCCGTTAATTTGACTGAATCGATCACAGGGTCCTGAGTGAAGCAGAAAGGCTGACAGTACCCGAGAGCCGAAGTCGGGGCGTCAGCCCACCAGCTGCTGTGTGGTGGGCCGGAAGGGAAGGGCTGCGCGCCCCAGAGGGGCTGCAGGGCTCTTGGGACCCGACAGAAGCAACTGAACTGCAACCTCTGCGGAACCTATCTGTTCGCCCATCCCCGGGGTTTTGTTTCTGAGATTATTGAAAATTGTTTGAATGATGCACTGCAAAACGTTTAAAACAGATCATTTGCAAAATTAAGGGTTTCTACCCCAGAAATAGCTGCTGTCACCAAACAAGTGAAGAATCTATACTACAGAGTAGTTGCTCATAGCCAAACTGAATTGGTACGTTTATGTGGTGGTAAAAGAAACTGACCACTAAAGAGTTTTAGGTTGGCTGTTGTACAACCTGGAACAAGTCACTGATTTTCTTCTACTTTCTCATGACGAAAATTGGGAAATTGATTGATACAGCTCAAACCTCTTCCTGTTGCCCCATTCTGAAATTCTCCTTGAGGGCACCTTTTTGAGGGCATAACCAAGTAGATGTGAGGAAAGGTAATAAAAATAAAAACAGCTAGCTGTTAGTAAGCCCTTGGTTTTACATAAATGTGCTAAGCACTTCCAACACCCACTTCTTTACATTTTCACAGTCCCCTGAAGTGTGAGTAACCACACACCAAAACCACATGGTGATGATCTTTGCACTCCCCCCCACTCTGACTCCCCCATCTTCAGAAGGGACCTTAAGCTACTTTGACAGCAAGTACCACACACATCCAGTGTACCCCAAGGCTAAGCAAATTTCATTGCAGCCTTCTCTGAACCATTCCCCAACATGACCCAACTTATATTGGTTGTCAGCTTTTTACTTAAAAACATTCCTATCTTATCACATTGCAACTGAAGTTAAAATAACTTAATTGATTTGTCGAGGCCATGGGGCCAAGATGGGGCTGACCTGTTTTCCCCTTCCTAGAGTTATGACAGTGCCACTCTAGGCTTCTAATGTGCACTCTCACTTGCTCTCTGGTTTCTGTAGTCCCAACTTTACTTCTATCCTCAGTCGGGTGCACAGTCAGTGGGCACCCCCTGCACCACCATATAACCTTGACCACTGTAACTTGCTGATCTCTCCAACGTATGTGTAGAGGCTATGTCTTATTACTGTGTCCCCATTAAGAATAAACAGATGGTGTAGTAGCATCACATTATGCATATTATAGGCCATCTTTGGTCAATGACTGAAAAAAGAAGTGTAGCAAGTTTTGAACAGACAATAATATGCTAAAATTCACTAATTATAGAGAAATTCAGTTTTAAACAGAGATACCATTTTTTCAAGATAAATAGTTTGCTAATAGAAGGCATTGGTGGAGGGATCAAAAAACCAACAAGTTCACAGATTGCTGAGATAGTTTAATTAGTAGTCTCACCAATAGAAAATTTGACAATATCAGTATTTGAAAATACAGTTTTTTAAAATGTATAATCTAATTAACATGACAATTTTCTTTCTAGAAATTTTCCTTCTGATTTACTTGTAGATATACAAAAAAATTTTAGACTAGACACAGTCTAAGTTATTAATCCAGGTAATTAGATATATATTAACATTATTATTGGTCTAATTACATAAATAGTTAATCATCAATACAATGAAATTATCTGGTGTTACTAACAGGAATAAAATAAATTGATATATTATTATTATAAAACAAACTCAAAAATATGCTCTTAAATAAAAAAGAAGAAAAAGTATATATATAGAGAGAAACCACACTCTGTGTGTGTGTGTTTGTGTGTGTGTGTGTGTGTGTGTGTGTGTGTGTGTGTGAAGGGATATATAAGAATACAGTGACAGCAGAATTAGAATCTTGAAGTTTTGCCTAATTCAATCAGTACATACCAACAGAAGACAAAATGTCTTACAGACTAACAGACAAGCCAAGAGGACCTATCAGGCTATATTCTTCCATGCTTAAAGAATATATCGTGGGTTAACAAACAAAGGAAACTTTCAAAATCAGTCCCTACAAGAGCAACCTAATTGAAGGGAGAGAAAAATTTAAGAAGCACAGATAATTTTACCACAGGACAAATGAGTTCTGCTGTAGGGCGGACTTTCTGAGAAGCACTGAACCTATCAGTCATCCTACGTATATTCTATTACATATACTATATACATAATATACATAAGTGTATTCTATTACATATACTATTACTATACATATATATGTATAGTCTATTATATTTTATATTACACTAAGAACTTGTACATTCATTCAGCTTCTTGGTTACCATAACACTAAGTGTCATGGGAATGGGTCAAAAGCATTCCAATCACAGAAATTAACATTCTGGTTCAAAAATGTAACATGTGATTTTGAGCAATATATGCACACAAATAAGAACATGAACATCTCTCCACTTTGCTGAAGCCTTCCAGTTCTAGAGCCACAATATACTCCCACAGCTCAAAACTGCATACATTCATTGCCCAAAGTCATTTCTCACTGAAGGGCAAAGAATTCTTATCTTCCTATTTATGGTTCTTAAATAAAAAATCATTCAAGACTTATCAAAGTTGAGTATTTGACCTGATAAAAATGGCTTTGAATATGAAGCTCTTTCTTTATAGAAAGAATAAAATTTAAGTCTAAATATTTTTTTTTATCAGTACTGGGGATTGAACTCACGACCACCTGCTTGCAACTCAGGTTCTTATGCCGCTGAGCTAAATCCCCAGCCATAAGTCTAAATACTTTTACAAATCCAGTTGAGAAGGTGCTGGGGCTACAAATTTATCAGCCACCAAGGCTGCAGGAGCAGATAATAATAAAACCAACACATGTAATATTTTGAATACACATGGTTATCAGGAATTTTTAGGAGGTAACAATGGAGTCACTCTTTTATAAAAGTTATAAGCCAAACATGCACAGGTATATGTACACATCGAGGACCTTGGTTATTTATAGACCATGAAGGATAACAGAGCTTTTGAAAATGTCACTTGAAGGAAGAGTGGTTTGTTCCAGAGCTATGTGTACCATTTTCTACAAAATGAAACCTGAGCTCCTTACCAAAGCCTGAGGCTTACCTAGTCTCTCCGGTGATTCTTCCCTCTTCTGGAGCACTTCTGACTGGTTCTCACACCTGCTAAGGTCATTTGTACCTCTGGAACTCTGCGCTTGCTACCTTTCCCAAACTTTCTCAGCTCAATCCACTCTAGTGTCTAATTCTTTTTCTAAGCCAACATTTATGAAAACAGAATGTAGAACATATGTTTATTAAGTAGTTAGTGTTCATAGCTCAACAAGTATTTATGTCTTGCATCTTTAGTCACTGATGAAGAAAATAGACAAGAATATTGAAAGAAAAAATGTTTGTATGCATTTGTCAGTAGCTCCATGACTGGTTCATGAGTTAGTAATAGGCAATGATTAACTTCTTAAGCCTTAGAATCATATCAGAATCATTTCCACCTCGTGTTGCTTTTTATCAGAGCAACCACCAAAACCACAGATTTTGTAAATATAATGTTCCTGGAAGAATGTAGTGTGAGCTAGTGTGAAACTGACAGCTACCCTGAGCTAGTGGTATACTAATAGAATGGGTTCAACAGATGTCAAATGTCATTAAGTTTTTTATCAAAGATTTAATTTATCCTGTAGTGCTCATATGAGCTGGAAAACCTCTCTAAACAGTTCAGGAACTACAGATCCACCTTGAATATTTGCATAGAATTTGTTTTGCCTTAGTTCACTGATTAACAGATCCTAAAACTAAGCTTACAAACAAAGATTTAAGAAGCATTATAAGTTCAGTACTCAGAAATGAAGAGATAAACGTTTATTACTTTGTTTTGCATTACTATAATGAAATACCTGAGACACGCTAATTTTATAAAGAAAAGAAATGTTCAGATCACAGTTCAGGAGGTTTAATGGCATTAGCATCTGTTTGTTTCAAGAGAGGACCTCATGGTCAGTCACACCACAGCCATGGGAACACATACAAGAGAGTCATCACATCACCAGACTGAAAGACAGAGAGGCCCGGGCCCAGGGTTTCTCTTGAGGGTATGCCAACAGTGACCTAAGGACTTCTCATTAGCTCCGCCTCTTAAAGGCTTACCACATCCTACCATTTTACTGGAGAATAAGCCAGGAATACATTTTGAGGTCAAACAACATGCAAACCTTAGCAAAAGGTAAAGCAGAAAGAAGAGGAAAGTAAATTCAGAGTGGAGAGGTATCACACAGCTCATACTCGTTCCCTTGGTCACCAGAATTTCTTCTGGATGGCACATATTTCATCATTGAGCCTAAGAGCACCGTCAGCAGGAGAGAAAGGAATTCATCCACTAGTCCTTCCTGTTTCCTGTTTCCATGGCTGAGTGGGTCTCTTAGGGAAGGAGCATGGCAACCACTAGGGAACCCAGGCCTCCTGTTACACGGCAGAATACCTCATTCCTCCCTGGAAGTGATGGGAGGAACCTCAAAGAGTAGAAATGGATGGAGCCTGACAGCCACAGAAGGTTTTCTGCCTGAACAAGAGGCTGGGTGGGAGAATAGCCTTCCCCAGGGGAGGCTGAGACCACTGGTAGAGGCAGGAGAAAAGCAGCAGCAATAGCAGCTGGAGCCTTTCAGTGGACAAGCAAAGAAACAGTGCTCAGGGGTTAGATGTGGCCAAGCCATTTTTGGAAGACACAGAATGGGTCTTTTTTTTTTTTTTTTTTTTTTTTTTGTATTTTTGTATTTTTACTGGTACCAGGGATCGAACTCACGACCACACGCTTGCAAGGCAGGCACTTATGCCGCTGAGCTAAATCCCCAGCCCCCAGAATGGGTCCTATAATCAGGGTTTCTTCTCCTCTTTCAGAAGTTACTTCATGTGTCACCTTTTCAGAGAAGCCTCCCTGGAACTCTCTTTGCTCCACTTCCCAGCCATTAGCTGATGTAACCTAGAAAGATGAGCAGAGAGCCAGTCAAAAAGTGTTGAAATTATAAATTATCCAGCTATTTAGAGAAGTAAAGATCCACATGCAAGCTTGTCTTGCACCTAAAGCTGTAGAGTCTCAGGCTTAGATCATCCGCAGAGAATATATGTAGGTACAGTGATAGCCTGTCAAATCAGAATGGAGAAAAATCTTTTAAATTCCACTGGTGACAGGGTTCTCTCCGATGGGAATCTCTAAGTTAGAACTGACTAAAGATAGAATTATTATATTCTAGAAAGGAATAGGTCTTTAGGTTATCCTCACTCTAACTGTTGATACACATGCACTAATAATGCAATATCTCATTTTTCTGTACTTCAGCAGCTGATTTGGGGACAAATTGAAGGAATTAACATTTATTTTCATTAAAGTTATTCTCATTGTTTTCTGACCATCCTTTACTCACCCAAATGCCTTTGAATCTGAAGTCTATCATTCATTGCATTCACTCTTCTGATTGTTTACTTATCAAAGTCCAAAATGAGCCCAAAGTGGAATATACTCAATGATGTCATTGATAAGCTTCCCCTTGAAAAGAGTAAGATTCAGATCAGAATATGCAGTGTATCCCTAGGAATATTGATTCTGTCAATACAGGTTCACATTCATTTGTTTCACATACTGCTACTAAATGGTCACACAGGATACATACTGCTGTAGACACTAGAAGGGAAGAAAATCTTTGTTTTCTTGGTGTTAAACGTTCTCCATTAGTGAGTAGCTTGTGTATATAATTCTTAAAATCTCTATTTCTTGTGAACACACATTTCTCCATTTGTGTACAGTTCAGTGAGAGACTATGTATATTTAATATTCTATTTCTGCTGCATGTTCCTAAATTGTCAGGCAAAAAAAAAAATGCTATCAAAGTAAATAAGCTAATCCAATGTGACTATTTAACTAACCCATCCTAATTTTAGAGTGATCATTTGTTGACTTTTTCAGTATATTACAAACATTTCTTGAGTCTTCTCTACATGAATGCTCAGAATTCAGATCTGAATACAGTTCTACAGCTCCTCTGAAGGAGTTTGTCATTTTATTGGAATAAATAAAAATCATGTCCTTCCTTTTTCACTTGAAGTAATGAAAATCTTGTAATAAGCACCGTGATCTTTTTAGACCCAGAGATGTACAGGATAAAATACTCTCGGTCACATACCACCATGAAGTCAACTGTGACTACATGACCTGATTCTGAACATTGAGCTCAAAGCCAAATAGTCAGATGGGACTTCTGGGGGAAGTATTTGATTAGTACATAAAGATAATATGCCCCTTTAGTCCTTTGTTCCTCTTCTTTCTTCATGCTTAGGAAGCTCGTTCAATACCTAGAGGTATAATAGCCATCTTGTAACCAGGAAGACAAAACTACTTACTAAGGATGGACGAATCTGAAGATGTAATGGGTCCCAGGCCTTGAAGATTTTCATGAGCATTGCTAACCCAGAACAGCACATCTAGACTACAACTAGACTTGTTATATTATATAAGAAAATTAAACTACGATCTGCTTAAGTTATTGTTGATTTGATATACTTTTTATTTACTCACAGTGAAAAGCACTTCTGTTAATGATACAAATAAATTTAGAGAAAATATTGACTGTATTGACTGAAGTATTATTCACAATAACCTATATCAAATAGAGTAGCTTGGCTATATTCCCACAAAGCTGTAATTCCAATTTCCAAAATTAACTATAAAATTACTTTTCAAGCAAACTGTTTCACTGCTAGAAATGCATCTAAAGAAAAATAATCCCAAGTAAACAAGGTTCTAAGTGAAGAAAGATATTTGTTATAGAATTACTTTCTAATGATATGCAAAACAAAATGGCCCAACAGATCAGCAAGAAAACAGTTAAGTTTTTCAATGTCCATTGAAGGAGTAGGATAAACACCTCCAAAGTGATAGTTACAAATCCATGTAGAAATGATCCAAATAACTAACAAGATGTCAAATTAAAACACTAACATGGATGAATTTTATGACATTATGCTAAGTAAAATAAACCAATCAAGAAAGATAAATACTGGGGAAAAGGAAGATAAACATTAGGTCATCTCACTAGGTAAAGTATCTAAAGAAATAAATTCATATTAATAGAAAGTAAAATGTTGGTCGCCAGAGGTAAATAGGGGAGGAAACAGTGATTCACTGCTTAATGGGTGCAGAGTTTCAGTTGTGACAGATGAAAAAGTTTTGGTAATTACTTACACAAACAATGTGAGCACACTAAAAACTAACGAACTGCCTATTTAGAAATGGTTAAGATGACATATTTTGTTGAACATTTTTAACACAATAATTTTTATAAATGATAATGGCTTTGGAAAATCTTTGAAAGAAAGGTTTAAAAAAAACACCCACATTCTGGGAAACTGTAAAAACAAATTTATGCTGAGACCATAAATTAATGGAAACCCATCTCTGACTTTAATTTTCAGACCATGAGCAAGGAAAATTTACCCTTCTGAGATGATGTTTCCAAATGACTTGGAGCCAGGTAAAGGCACTTGCAAAGCAAAAGAAATAATTTCTTGATGGAGTCATCTAAGTGGCAATGCCAGTGCCTGCACCACATTTCGCTGGAGCTTCCTCTTGCCTCTTCATTAATCAAATGTAATGCAGAATTATAGGGAAGAATTATTTGCCAAAGAGTTTTCCATTTTCTGCTTCTCTGAGATGATGCTGATTGGAGAGAAACAAGTTCCCTAAGGACAGATGTTCTTGTGATGGGGATGGGAGTTTGCTTGCAGCAAAAACAGAGCTTGCGTTTAAAGGTTTGCTTTTGTTATTATTATTCAGTCCTTTGGCTGAGTACAGTGCAATCAGCAACACTGCCAGGCCAACCCCATTAGAGAACCACACAAGAGAATATTTACATTTCCCTTTCTGTTTCCAGCAAGTTGGGTCCCTAATTGGATTGTGAGAATTTAACCTCCCTCACCCCACGGTCCCTCTGCTGTCCAAGAGACTTGACAACCTCTGCTGCATGAACTGCGGTTGGATTCATAGTTTATACCTCATTCTCTCAAGTCTCCACTCATCTACTGAACTTTCCTAAATGATGAGATTCTCACAGAATCATTAAAATTCTCTCAACTGTGGTTTTAATTCAGTATTTTCTTTTTACAAATCAAGCCATAAAATCCTTATATATTGTTTATGGAATACTAAAATCTAAATAATTTTCAGACATAATAAAAGAGTACATAATTCAGATACTCAGATTACTGTCATAAAATGGGTAATAGTGCTGTTTCCAAATTAAATTAGCATCTTCAACAAGAAGAAGGTCTTCTCTGCTCCTGAGCAGGCTCTCTGGAGATGATGCTATGAGAATACTCAACTGTCTGCTCACATTTCTAAAATGCAATTACAGTGAACCCTTTGCTCACATGGCCTGGCATGCTGCGATACTATTTGGCTGTGCTTAGACAAAGGCATGATTTACATAATAACTCTACCCCTATTCTTTACTCATTAGTTCATGGCCACAAAATAGTGCTACATGGTGATCATTGCCACTAGAGCACCAGAAATCATAGGTCAGTTCGTATCAAAGGAATAGTCCAACTGATACAGAACACATATATCATGTGTGTTCTGTATTCTAAAGAGAGATAATAGAAAATTAAAGTTCTTGGGATCCATTTTGGAACTACTCTATACCACACCTCCCTTAGCATCTATTTGATATTTAAATAAATGGTTCCATGGTTTCTTATTTATCTCTGTCAGTTAATGCTATTTGTCTAACAGCAAGAGGCCCATGGTTCAGTCACTTGACTCTAGCAGCCATTATCATAAACTATAAGTGAACAGTTATTTGCTTGTTTCAGATGTGGCAGAAGGATTGATTAAGCCTTCCTGAATTTTTACTGCTTGAGAGTTTGCACCAGTCAATCACTGGGGTGGAGAAGATGCAATTGTATATTACAGGAAATGGCCTTGGCCCACCAATGGGTCATTTTGTGACCAGGAGATTCTGTTGGTTTGCCATAAGCATCGCTCCGTCCTGTTCCTGACCCAGATCACCACATCTAAGCACTCGCTCACTCTTCCTGACTATCAAGTCAGCTGAAGCCCTAGTTAGAAAGCGGAAATTGAGTTGAAAACAAAGGAAGATCAGAAACGTACAACAAAATTTCCATAGTCAAAGGTGTGTCTCAGAAAGATGTGGTAATGGTGAGGACGCTGCATGAGACATCTAGACCCTGACTGCTGTCTGTATTCCCAGGTAGTTGTGTGGTCTCAGGCAAGTCATCGATTTTCCTAATTCCATTGTTCCCTCATTAAATGGGAGTGTTGAAATACAGACAGTCTCAGAGGTGGAAACTGGAGATTGGAGGCAGACTAGCATTTTCCACTGTTTATGTGGTCTTAAAAAGAAGCCAAAAATGTTCCACTGCTTCATTTTTTACCCCTTTATCCATCTCCCATCCCCATTCTCTTATTTTCCCTTTTCCCCTTGGTTGGAGACCTTCAAAGTTGAGGCTACACGCAAGAAACAATTTTAAAATGTGTAACTGCAGAACAACTTAAAGATCCCAAAGAAGTCCCTTTTTCTCAGGAATACATAAGAATCCTTTTGATATTTTTCCACCCCAGAAAGTAATTTCATGAGTGCCATTGCCAGGGTGAGCATTGAACTATTTCCAAAAGATCATTTCATCAAAGCTAATGGATAACTGTAGTCTAGCAGTCGTCTCGTTCATCGATGCATTTCCTGCCCCATTACTCAATAAACATTAAATAACAATAACAGAAATGACGCTATTAAAAACATGGTGTGAATTCTTTGAGATGGAAGGAAATAGTAGGAAGGAAGAGAAAAGAAGGCAATATGTAGAAAATTATAACTTACACATAAGGAGCTGTGTTTGTCCCCTACAGTCTTAGAGTTGCTGAATGGAATCTCTTTTGCTCCGAATCTGTGAATTCTGTTTGTGGTATGACTCTGACACTCATCAAGGTGGAACTCTGCCATTTTGCAGGGACATGTAATCATATGGAGCATGGTGGCTCTGCTGTGCTGGTCAAATGATCTTTACTTGTAAAAGAAGATGTGAAGAGATTTAAAATAGTTTAGAAGTAGGTAATGAAGTTTACCTTAAAAAAAAACTTACATGGGAAAAATAAAAGAAATTAGAGATGTTTGCTGCTATGGCTTGTATCTATATGTTCCCCAGAGCCTCATGCTGTCATAGGTGGGGCTTCTTCAGAGGTGGCTGGATCTAGACTATGTGATGCTGGAACTGATTTATGGTACAGTGACAGCATCAATGATGCTAGGGTTAAGGGTTTGAGTGCTACTCGCCCTAAGTATCCTGGATGAGATATAAGGGAAAGAAAAAGCTGTGGGTCATTCCTTGCTTGCTTGCTCTTGCTGTCTTTTGTTTACCATGAACTGGTTTTCCAGTGTTTGCCCACCATGTGCCACCCTTACCTGAAGCCAGCCAATTATGACTGAAACCTCTATAAACTGTGAGCCTAAATAAACCTTTCCTTCTTTAACTTTGGGTGTCAGGTATTTTGTCTCAGCAACAAAAATAACTAAGATATTTGTTAAGATTGTAAAAGGAAAAAAAAAACCTAATGGCTAACTTAATTATTATTTTATGGGTATGTCAGATTTGTCAGAGCACACACAAAAAATTACCTTTCATCCTTGCCTAATAAAAATTTAAATTCAGAATTTCTTTTGGTTCCAGAAACTCTAAATTACTCTTTAAGCAAATATCCTTAAGAGCTATCATTATGTTTTTTTTAACAGTGTCTCCAGTCCTTTCATTAACTCTGCTCCCAAAGACAGCACCTAACCTGATTATTCAGCCAGAGCTCCCTTTTACAATCATATCTATCTTTCTAAATGGCCAGTGATGTTTCTTTGCCTACTTGTGCCAACCAGCTGTAGCATCCTTGGCATTGGTGCAGTTGTATTGTTGGCCCAGCAGTCTAGTCAAGCAGCAAAAGCAGGTAAGGACCCATTTCTTCCTCTGGCAGGTCTGCAGCCAAAAGTCTGGTCTGGAGAACAGAACTTGAAGCACCTTTATTCAGTTAGGAGCTCCTGCTACAAACACAGCCAGCTAACGTTTTCAGCTCCTGCTCCAAAAATGTCCATTGTCTCAGTCAGGTGTCCGATTCACCTCAGCGGGTTACAGTGTGTCTGAAGGCCCCACCCAAGAAGCAGGCCTCCTTTGCAGCTTCCTTGTGGGAATGGCTGTCTGGGCTGCTGGCCTAGTTTCTGGTTTGGGAGATGATCTTGCATGTACCCCACACCAAGGGCTGCAGTTTGGCCACCATGTTTGAGTTGTGTGTGATAGAAAATTTGGGGGGTGTGAAACCTGTGTCCAATTTAAATCCCTCATGGGCATTAATCTAACCTGAAGCTTAAGAAAATGTGGAGTAAATACATTTGGGATTGAAGAATTGGAATATGTAGTTAATTCAATGATTTCTCTCATATTCTCTATTCCACCCACCATTTCATACACCTGTCCTACCCCGGTGCTTGTTTTATACCACTTTGTCTATTTATTCAATAAGTTGCTTATCTGTATCCCTTCAAAGAACCCCACAAATCTCCCCCTCTCTTCTGCCTATTCTTTTGCACATGCCCTTAGCTGGCTAGGAATGTTTACACCTTGCAAAATGAGAATGTCTGACTTTACACCAAACAAATCATTCAGATTTTCTTAGAAGGAGGCTCAGACATTACTATTTTGAGGAAATCTTTCCAGATGCTTATAACGCATGGCCGTGTTTGAGAACCACTGAGGTGGAAGCCTGCTACACTCTGGCCACTTTCCAAGTGTCACAGTTAGCTTATAAAGTAGCATGGTTTCCCAGGGTGTGTGCAGTACAAACAATGGGTATGAAAATAGTTTTCAGAGGGGAGAGATTTCTCTGGGGTGAGTTGGATCATTAATAGTAGTTTTGTGATATTAGTGTGAATTCATAGAAAGTTTAAAATTATAGGTGTAGTTCTATTCCATGAAGAATCTCTATTTAGAATCTTACATAATCAGTACGAATAACTCACATTTAGGTAATGAATATTACATTATGTATAGCAACAACCTGTAAGTTAAATATTGTTGGCATTTCCATTTTACATAGCAAGAACCAGAGCACAGAGATTCGGACACTTTGTTGGGACAATAAAGATGGCCTTGCTCTTGGGATTTTGAACACTGGCTGTCTGACTCTGAGACCTGTGCCCTAAATACTCTAGGTTAATAATATATCTCTTGGACAGAATTTCATTGTAGAACCACTTAATTTCATCTGTGACTCTTAAGCTAAGCTAGACATTTCCTATTTTCCATCTCTATCTCTTGGTACTAATCTTACCTTTTGAAGATAAATCTGTTTACTCTAATGAAGGTCCCTTATGTATCTAGGATTATAGCTTGTTAAGCCTGGAAAAGGCCTCAAGATGAAATAGTGTTGCCACTGCATTATTAGGAGTGTTTCCAATTTAATAGGCCTTGTTATGATCACATCTAATTCACTGTGTCACAGATGGTATTTTCTGGAAGCACATGTTAAAATTGAGCCTGGAATATGAGTTGTTTATTAAGGAACTAAAACCTTGAGAGAAAAGAGGAGGAAACAGGGGTGGGCGGAGAAGTCAAACTGAAATAGAGTCTGACCTCTACAAATGAATAATTTTTATCAATACAGTAATGCCTCACTTCCGTTTGCAGACAATTCAGTTCATAAACAGAACACTACACAAAATTTTGCATTCATTCACAAATTCTGCATTGGATGATGAACTCAAATACAGCCATCTTCCCCAAGAATCATGGAACAAATTAATTTCATGAACCAAGGTACCGCTGTATTGTCTTGCTCTGGGATGAGCAAGGTCTCTATTATATTCCCTCACAGTCACTGAGGACAATTTCACTGATCTTGGAAAAGGCAGTTCTTGTGTCCAGGGCAGAATCTGGAGCAATGAGCATCTGAAGATTGCCTGTTGACCATAGTTTTTGGAGTTGGATATATTTGAAGTGATAGCCTGCAGAGACAAATGTGAGAAATCACAGATGATACAGCTGGAATGAAGTTTGAAGTGGGAGTCATCAGAATTCCATGGAAGTTGATGGAGGAAAGGAAAAGAAGCAATATTTGAGAAGATACAGGAAGAGAATGTCCAAAACAGATGAATACACCAATTCACAAATAAAAGAGGCACAATGACCCTCGTGAGGTTAGAGAACAGATCATTGGTCTATTAGCCAAAGAAAATATGGCAAAGTAGTCAGAAGAAAGAGTCAGATTATTTTCAGATAATCAAATACTAGAAAAAATGATTTTTCAGCAGGAAAATTGGAGTGCTAGACACAGTGAATTAAAGCACTGAGAGAGATTAACTGTCGGGTTAAAATTATATACCCAACAAAACAATCTTTTAATAATAGGAAAAATAAAGAACAATTATAGACAAAGCCTAGAACAGAAGACTCTCACTTAACCCTTTATCTCTGTAACACTGAGAGAGTATTTTAAAAAAATTTTTTTTTTCCATAGCCTGCTGAGCTGCAGTACCTTTTTGGCTCTCAAGTTTAACATTTTTATGACTTATCACTGTTTGAAACGTTGTGAAGTAGCCAGCTAGCTGAGAAAGGTTTAACCTTTTCGTGGTACTGGGTAACACAATTATAAATTTCTTTGGTTTTCAGTCTTACAACATTGCTGTCCACTATATGTTTTAAAATCAGTTAGCAGCTCACAAATTCATAAAGCTTGTCACCTTCACATATTTTCCATCACTCAGTACTGATGCCACTTTAGCACATTCCATCATGACCTCAGGCACCAAGGGTATTCCTCTTCTTCTTTGCAGGATGTACCATATTACTAATTCACTAGCCCTGAACTTATCACCAATGGCACTATAACTCATGCTAAAATTATTTAATTTTGGCCAAAAGTTTTGGCTCATAATTTCATGTAAATGCACTTTACCCTTGATTGTTGGTGCCAAAACTTGGAAACCTGTAGAACAATGCCAAAAAATTCATGACCACCACAGGCTTAGCAATATCTAAGGGAAATGGATTTTGATCAAGGAGGGAGACTCATTCACTGTCTGTCCTCGGGGTCAGCAAATAAATGATTGCACAAATTAATGCTTCCACCAGTAAAATATTCTCTTGATTCCAAGTATGCACACTAGCATCTGTTGTTGAGTTTTAATTTTTTTTGCCAGTTTGATGGTAATTAAATAATACTTTGGACTTCTATTGTGTGTTTACAGCTAACACGTTCTTTTCATTCTTTTAAAACACATGATTTTAAGTTTCTCTTACTGCATATTTGACTTAAAGATCTAAAATTAGTGTGTTTAATCCCCTCTAA